TTTTATGGACAAAGTATTGGACTACCCCTAATAAAGACGTTACAGAAGACTTCGCCGATCAAGGATGCAGTGAGTGGCTTCACACCCCAGTGCCATCAAGCCTAACTCTACACTGCCAGTACACCCCCACTTCTACAACAGGCCATCATCTTAAAAGTAATATCACAAATAATAAAGCAATAAGCCACGAGAGGCCGTGGGTTACTGTGATTTTACCACGGGGAAGGGTGTTCTTAGGCACCACGCGAAGCAAAGTAAAACTCCCTTCCCTGTGATAAAATCACAGTATCACACAGCCTCAAGTGGCTTATTGCTTTTATAAAAACAACGGCCAACGTGAAACATGATTAAATTCACACTTTTGTAGAGAATTATTATTAACAATAATCAACAACAACAAGAATTCTGCAAAGAAATGTAGTTCCTTTAGAGTACGGTATTGTTGCTAAGCAACCATGGACCGCTGAATCAGGAGAATGTTCGCCCATCACTGTATATTGTGGCCATTTCATGAATTTTTAAAACTTTTTGTCATATAATAATGAACATATGATAACACAGCACTGTTTAATGCAAAAATCTTGGCTTTATAAATACTTTTTGGTCATTAAATTACCACCGTGAGTCTTATATAGGACCAATCCAGCGGCGCCCTCTTCTCATGCTGGGGCTGAATCTCAAATAACTCCCTGCGCCCTACACAGTGCACTATGTAGGAGTTTAAATACTGGATCCTGCAGCCCAACAGAAAATAACACAGCTGAGAAACAGTCATTTGGGATTCAGACTCATCCACACTCGATACATGATGCACTATTTGGCTGTGGAGGCTAGAATTTCTAAACAGTCATACATAGAACACTACTTAGGGAGTACGGAGCCGTTTGGGATTCAGTCTGGGTTTGACTCGACTTCTGACTGAAACATGGACATTTGAAGCATGTAAGACATTCAAGTGACATTGTTTAGTCTTTTATACTGCTGTTTTACAGTGAATCACACTGTAAGTGCTTTAATTCAGCCTGTGATATTAATGATGGAGCTGTTTAGGCTGTTGGCTCCTCTAGCCTGTTAGCTAGCTGACCAGCCTGGTTCTAGTTAAGAACATAAGTTGTCAGCCCCTCAGTTTGAACAACGGCTTCAAACGCGGCTCAGCCAATCAGATTTAAGGAACTATCCATTTTATAAAGCTAGTTATATCATAATAAAGCTGTAACCAATCTAGCACAGTATTAGCAACAATATTTCCAACAAAATCATTTTCTATCAGGACTAATCATTCATTATTTTCTCAACATAATTGTCTCAGTTTCTATTTATTTATTTGTATATATTATATTATTATATTTTTATTTGTTTTACAAAATAAAAGGCTCTGTGCATTTAAAATCTGTTTGAGGAGACTAAAGACCTTATAGGCAGGACAGTAATCTGGGTGGTCCGAGGGTGGACCAGCAGTGGCATACAGTGAGCGGGGTGCCGACCTTATCGGGCCAGTGGACTGATATGTGCTACGTTAATGAGGCCACTGAAGTATTTTTCACCCAGTCAGTCATAAACAATGACAGAAACAATGAAAGACTTTTATTTCATTTTGATTTTTGAGTACTTACATATTTCTCTGTAGTAGAAAAGTAGAAAACATTCAATCACTCTATGACAAGAGTGAACAATGTGAGTATTCTACTGTAAAACGCTAACCTGGCTAACAATAACAACAGGTACTGATGTAGCACATCATGCTAACTGGTTACTAGTTTTTTTTAATTTCATCATTATTAGCATTTTTCTGTGAACCAAACATCCAAAGTAGTAGTTCCTCACCACAACATGTGCATTTTTAGTGAACGTTGAGTGAAGAAGAGCTAATAACAATAAGAGCTAACAGTAGCTGTGCATATTCAGAGTGTTGATGTCTGAACAGTGCTGAGAAAGCAGGCTGCTGACTTTAGCACACATTATTTGGCAGTATTAGCATTTGGGGGGTGAAGCTTTTGAAAGCCCACCTCTGAAATTCGACACTGTTTTTGTGAGCAGGCTAACCGCTAAAAGCTAAGCACTTAGCACTTGCAGCAGTGCTTGGCTGGTGCTGAGTAAGGACCCAAAACCAGTGACTGTTTTGACATCATTATGAATTAAACATGCTAAAAAGGCTCTATATGCTTTGAAATTTTGCTCTGTGGAAAAACAAATATACTCAATGTATTTATCAAAAAAAAAAAATTTGTAATGAATGAAAATAGCCAATATATTATATATTATATTTTTCAATTGTATGTAGTAGGGGTGCGGGAAAAAATCGATTCTTAGATGCATCGCGATGCGGACGTGCACGATTCTGAATCGATTCATTCAACCTCAAAAATTTTCTAAATATTTAATTTATAACGTAATGTTGACGGAACGCAAAGGGCGGAACTTGGAAGATCGGAAGTGCAGCGCCCGGACAGTCTGTGGCGGCACACAACAAAAACACTACTGGAGGAGCGAGAAATCCGACCGGCTCCCTCTGCATTAAAGCCAGGTCAGGTCAGGAGTCACAACACAAATGATAAGAAGAGCCATTTTGTCCTCTCAACAAAAATCAAACCAGCTTGGGAGCCGCAGCATTTAATGTCCAGCATGTCTCAGTGTGTGTTAATGTCCTAGTATGGGCTAAACAATATAAACGAAAACGCGGACTTACTCTACTCTGCTTTAAGCTTTAGCTACAGCCGCTTTTCTTCCATCTCCGCCAGAAAACTTTTCCTCAAAAGTTGAATAGTTTCTTGTAAAATGTCTTTCAGCTTTCGGCTGTTTTACGAGGCTGAAGTCGCTTCTTATTCTCCAGCTTCTTGCTGAACTTTCCCGTTCCACCTTAAATTCTGACTGAGGCGCCGAAGGTAAATGCGGCACCATTTAAGGTGGAACGGGAAAATTAGAAAGAGAAGCGAGTTCGCCTTCACAACGTTTTAGTGTTTGACAGTCTCTCATTGCAGATTTAACGTATCAGGAAACCAACTACGTTGCTTATAAATGCGAATAAGTCCATTCATCTCCAAATGTTCGTCTGTCTTTCTCTTTTCCTTTTTCAATCTCAGTCGTTGCGAAACAGGGCTTTCTCGCTATGTTGCACACGCCCCCCACCCCCGCGCCAACTCCGTCTCTACCACGAGACCGAAACCGAAGTTATAAAATCACTGAAGAAAACGGGTAGGACGGCTGTTACGTATGCGTGGTCATCCATTATTTCACCCTAACAGCGCATTTTATCACAGATGAGTGGCAGCAGCGTCTCCAAACGAGCAGTGAATGAGAGCCTTCCAGTTCACTTGCCACATCACTTCCATTTGTTTTATTAATAAAAGATATTGGACATAAATGCATTATGGATCAATACAAATACTTAGCTTTAAAAGTACCAAGTCCTCAGACAGTAAGAAAATAGAAATCATGTATCGAAAAAAAGATGCATCGAGATGCATCGATAATCGTTTTATAATCTTATCGCAGCCTCTGAATCGTAATCGAATCGAATCGTGAGGTGCCTAGAGATTCCCACCCCTAGCATGTAGTTTTAACAAAGGTTACAGATATAACTGAATATTCATGAATGACTGAATGAATTATATTGACTTCTGTGTTTTGCTTTGTGCTTTGCATCAACCATGTTTGTATGAATGCAGTAAGACACTTGTGCTAAATGTATTTCAAATAAACAAGATATCAAATCATAACTGCATTTTCACAGAGTATCAATACCTACAACCCTCACTCTTGTCATGTTAAAGGTTCATTTGCTAATATGTAAAAGTAAGATACTAAAATACAAATTCATTTTAAAACATATTCCAAACACTAAAGTGTATTAGACAGTATTTTGGTTATTTTCATACATTTTCAAAGTACTTGATAAATATAGTTACATACGTGTATTTTTATATGTTACATTTCTATGTGTAATGTTTCCCAATACATTTAAAAATTAATGCATTTTATATGTTGATAATATTTGATTAATATGGCAATATATTCTGAAATTTCAGCATGGTTTGCAACGTTTTTGAAAGGTATTTCAAATATATAAAAATACATATGCATATATTTTTCCCATAATAGTGTTCCATTGATACATTAGCATCTTCAGTAGCACAAGGAAGATATTAAAGTGGATTTCCACTGTTTTGTTTTTTTTTCAAAATTTCAGTATATATCAGTGGTTGAGATGTAAACAAAGTCATTCAGGGCTGTTCGATGTGAAATCGCTCACTGAAGAGAAACTTAGATTTTCCCTGATTTCTTTACAGTGTTGGTCATAGGAACCAGGAGTCATGTTGTCTACAACACAAATATAGCCACCAGTGAACCTACATGTGTCTTCTGAGTTTTTACATGTAATGTTTATGATGGTAAAATAGTGGAAAATCTAAAAACAGTATTTTTCCTTTAGGTACTTTTTTCCCGCTAGTACCTCCTCTGCATGAATGTGTTTGAGTAATATATTTAATTTCAAAAGCTTTTCGTAAAATGTCTTGGCGACATATTCGTAACCATGTAATGACATAAATATCTGTAATGGAGCTTTTAGAAACACTTAACTCTTCAGATATTTGGGTCCTATCACCATCACTGTGTTTCTGACTTTGTTTACATCTTAACTATATCGCTGTTGTCAAAACCTCGTATCTCCAAAATAGTAACTTTACAGGAGAAGGAAAAAACATAATTTACTTTTAATGTAAGTCAATTGAACCAGACTTTTTTCCAAGTAATTTTTGGCCGTTTCTTCTGGTCCATTCATCATGAAATATACACACAATGTAAAGAACAACAGGCATTTTCAAATTATGTCAAAAACAGAAAAAACAAAAAAACAAAAATGGAGATACAAGGTTTTCTTCCGACAACAGGGATATATTTCTGCAAAAGTATCAGAATCAGAGCCAAGATTTGTGTAATTTCACTTGAACTTTCTTCTCTGTTGTGTTTGTAGGTGTTCTTGGCTTTGTGCTGGTCATCGCAGGTCGGAGTTCAAAGGTGGGCTTCGGAGTGGAAGGCAGAGGTCACAGAGGTCAGAGGCTTGGAGCTGCGTCTCACACTGATCACGAGAGTTCCCTCCGGTGTCAGAGTGCCGCTCACCGACAAAGGGTCCATGTCCTCCGGCAGCAATGACTTATGGGTAAACGTGTCTCTAATAGTTCCATCGTCTCCGACCTGAAAAACCAGAAAGCATGTTTAACACTGGTGAGCATATTGGTCTGTTTTGCCTCGTATTCACGACAGGTCAAAAGTTTGAATTCACTTCACTGGTTTTCAATAATACAAAACCAATTTTATTACAGATTTATTGTCGCTGATGTCGGAACAAAATTTCCATTTTTGTTATTTTTCAGTTTTATAATAATTTGACAATGTTTGTTGTCCTTTACATTACCTGTAAATTTCATGATTAATAGATCAAAAGAAATTACCCAATATTACTTGGAAAAAAGTCTGGTTCCATTGACTTACATTGAAAGTAAAGTACGTTTTTTCCCTCTCCTGTAAAGTAATTATTTTGAAAACGTGTGGTTTTGTTCCAACAACAGCGACATGCATTTGACAGACACTTTTATCTGGAATGCCTTATGTTAAAGATCTAGTGTTAGAGGACGTGTCCAAGGACTCTAATTGGTTTTGTGTGGTTTGGTTACCCAGGCGGGGAATCGAACCCCACTCTGCCACACAGAGGGCAGCAGTCTTATCTACTATACCAACTACAACATATACAAGACATAGTAAAACAAATAAATAAATAAAAAGTAAAAAATAAGTTAACACATCCTCCTTAAGTTGACACCCTTAAATATGGCATTTTCCTGCAAATTTTAGTGCACAATTTCTACTAATTTTACTGACAGATAAATCAAAATTTTGCACACTCCACATTTTGTTTAATTTTTTCCACATTAAATTCAGCAAGTAAACAGTAATTGTGTATTACATGTGCAGTTTGTTCCTTGTAGATTGTTTGTTAACTTACTTTCACATAGAAAATCAACAAAACGTCATTTGACCAGGGGTGCCTAAACATTTGCATGTGACTGTGCATATAAGATATGTAGAAAATGATAATATGATTTGTAGGAGGCTGTAAAACTGAAGACATTTTTGATGATGAACAGAGCTGTAGATGGTTCTATAATAACTGAGAAAGCTGGATAGCAATGTGAATAATCTTACAATAACATGAATATCCAGAAAACCTCATATTAAAAAAAAAGCCCAATCTCGTTGATCAGACTGCTATTCATAGTAATTAAAGACAAGAAATTTACTATAAATAGTCATTAAAATATGTTATTTAATAATGTTTGGGTTTTTTTGCCATGTCGTAATTTCTTGTTGTCCCCAAAGAACTTCAAATACTTGAATAAACCATCAGTTTATGCTTTGGAGTCCAGTTATGTCTTTGACATCAATCAACACTGTATAGATTTAGTATTATATAGTATAGTTAGTATAGTATATAATACTATACTATATAATACTAAATCTATACAGTAGTATATAGTATTATAACAATCATTAAAATGACAAATGATAGTGCTGCTAGTGGATGTTGTTGAAAGGTTCTATTAAAAGTCATATTTTTGTAATTTCGTAAAGTCTTAAAAAATGGCATAGATAAACCTAAACTATATAGACAAAAGTATTGGGACACCCTCCTGATTATGGAGTTTAGGTGTTTCAGCCACCCCATTGCTAATCAGTGGATAAAGCAGCCACCACTGGACTCTGTGGAAACGTATTCTGTGGAGTGATGAATCACACTTCTCTATCTGTCAGTCTGATGGACGAGTCTGGGTTTGGTGAATGCCAGGAGAACGTTACCTGCCTGACTGCACTGTGCCAGCTGTAGAGTTTGGTGGAGGAGGGATGATGATATGGGGCTGTTTTTCAGGGGTTGATCTAGAACCCTTAGTTCCAGTGAAGGGAAATCTTAATGCTTCAGCACCAAGACATTTTGGACAATTGTACACTTCCAACTTTGTGTGAACAGTTTAGGGAAGAACCTTTCCTGTTCCAGCATGACTGAGCCCCAGTGCACAAAGCAGCTCCATAAAGGCTTGACTGGGTGAGTTTGGTGTGGAAGAACTTGACTGGCCCTCACAGAGCCCTGACCTCAACCCCATCACACACCTTTGGGATGAACTAGAACAGAGATTGTGAGCCAGGCCCTCTCGTCCATCATCAGTGTCTGCCCTCACAAAGATATTAAAAAAAGCTTCTATGGGTGTAATGTGTAGGTGTCCCAATACTTTTGTCCATGTAGTGTATATGATATATGAGGTGTGGTGTGAGAGTCTTTTGCCACATCTGTGCTTTATAATAGTGTAACAGTATTTTGTTAATGTGATGTGATTCTGTGCTATATCAGCAGGGATGGACTGGCCATTGGGAATGCTTAGAGTAGGACAGTTCCTGGTGGGCTGCTATGTGGGTGGGCCGCAGAGAGAGTGAGCGAGATGCAAGAGAGAAATGCGTGGTCAATGTAGTCCTATATAAAGTGAATGGAGACCACCCGGGACAAACAGCCCGTGCTGAGATAATGCTGGAGTGCTCATATCTAGACTGTCACTAGATTTAGAGGGCCACTGTGGTTGTAGTGGGCTGGTCTAGACAAAAGTCCAGCACTGAATCTGTATATTTATCTCACATGTTTCTGGACAACATGTAAGTATCAGAACAAGAACTGATGTTTTCATCTGAAATAAGACACATTTACTGAGAAACAAGATGGACACAAGAGCTGAATGTTAAGTTATATTAAAGAAAATATACAAAATATAAAATATATCAAAATAAAATATAAAATATTTAAAAGGGGCTGGGACTACAATGACAGACAAATTGTTTTCTATTACTCTTTTTTGCATCAACTGGAAAATTAACCTTTTATTTATAGGTAATTAGAGTTTGTTACCTTTATTTTCCCATTTCATAGCCAATTTGTTACTTCTACAATTTCTAACTCGAAGTAGAAAACTGGCATTAAATCTTTAGGTTAGGACAACTTGTTACTATTATGTTACCATTTAATTACAGACTTCTTACCCCTACAATTTACTTACAATTTACTAACAACTAAAACATTAGTATGTATTTTTTTAGGTTAGCAATACTTTTTACCATAATATAACAATATAATTACCCACTTATTACCAATAAATAAAGTGCTACTGAAATACCAACCAGTCTTTCTCCACCATGATGTAAAGGTCAGTAACGAATCAGAAACTCTGGCATCAAAACCTTTTTAACTACGACTTGAAGGGTCACTGAAACGTATCTTTTACATGGGAACTCACACTGACGCTAACTCTAGTAGCACATGATGGCAGAGTTTGTCTCAACATCCCACAACACAAACCTTCTCAGCATGTATAACTACACTGTGGTTGTAGGCCATCACCACCACGTCATGCGGCTCAAACTGGCTGACGTTCACAGACAGGTAGTAACTGTCACCCACCGCCTGAACCGCTCCCACACTGGCAGGACGCCCGGAACTGGCTGGAAAGAAGGAAAGAAAAGGAATGGGTAATTAGAATGGGAGACAAGACAAAATGAATTTGAAGCGAAGGGAAAAGAGCAGTGTGCTTCACTCTTCATCTTCACTCTGGTCCTAACAACACGTGACGGGAGCGTGGGGCAACGACAAAACCAAAATGGTCCCGTTGTAATCAGTGAAGCTGTCTACACCAGCTGTGACCACAATCCATTTCTACTTTTGATATACTGCATCTTGCTGCTCTGCCATTCCACAAAATGGATAAGGGGAGATGCACCCCTGAAGGTGTGCATGTGTGTGTGCTCCACTGGGGCAATATGGCTGCCACTTTACATCGGTTTTTCATTTGTTTTGTATTGAACGATTTTCCAACCACAACTCAGGGGCTGGCTGGTTGGTTATACTGCATCACAGCTATGATGCAGCCTGGACCGGCCGCTTGAGTGACGCTGTATCGCAGCTAGGAGGCTCTCTGGACTGGGGACCTGTTTAACGTGACATCACAGCCTGGGCCGGCTGCTTGTTTAACGCTGCACTGCAGCTGTGGGGCTGCCTGGACCGATAGTGTTCGGCTACATGAGCAGCGCTACACTGCAGCTACGAGGCCTCTCAGGCCGCCTGCCTCAGTGACTCTACATTGGCCTCCTGTGTAATGCACAGTCATTGCAGTGTAAGACTTTCCCCCCCAACGGCTAAAGACTCTTTCCGGACTAGCACAGTGACTCTATACTGTGGTCAGTGAAATCCCTTCCGCTAGCTGTGGGAACTGTGGAGTTTGTGTGTGTGTGTGTTCTGTGTTATGTATTGTTGATTATGTATTTTGCCGAGCGTCCTTGAGTATGGGAAAGGCACTATATATGAGGGGATCTCCAAGACCCTTCCAAGAAAACACTTTGGAGAGAAACTACCACCACAGTGCTGGAAGACAGAGCAGGGCCATAGCCAAGGAGTGGCCAGGGGTGGCCAGTGCCACCCTCTTGTGAAGCATGGCAACTGCAGCTAAACAAAGTAATCATCAATGAAGCAGTCACCACACCACTTTGTATGAACAGGGCAGCTATCCATCAGTTATGATCGGAGTAATGACCGTAGTCACAGGCGAGTGAACACTGCTTAAAACCTCGACGTTATTCTTGTTCGCTTTGCTTAAGAAAGCAGCTAACATTGGCCTTCGACATGAGGAAAATGTGTAAAAGCACCCGAATGGATCTCTACGTCAGTGTATGAGAGTATGTATGTGGTTTACTGTAACATTACTGTAACTAAAGATTTTAACAATGATCAGCACAGAGCACAAACATCAAAACTAGTAAATAGTCATGCTGGTTGACCAGCATACCAGCATCCAACATGCAACATATGCTGGTTTAGCGGGTGACCAGGCCACGCAGGCTCTAGCAAGGTACAAACCTCAGGCTTATTATTACATACTAAGGTTATTATTCAGTAACTACAGTGACTTCAATGCAAACTGGCTGAGCTGTTCTCAGGTTATAGAAGTGTGTAATAAAACTTTGGGCCCACTGGCCATTTAAGGGGTTAACTATGTTGTTTAGACTTAAATGTGGTGCTAAAACATAACCTCTTATACTCTATTTTATACTTTATTGGTCCTGAAACCAGTAAAGCAGCTATTTTCTGAAAGGTTCATGGTTTGTTTATATTTTGATTGTTGTGAAGGCTTTGCAACTTGATACAGTACTACATTTGAGGGCTCACTTGCTGTTAGGATGCTGTTTTCATGCTTTGTTGAATCTTGCCGGTTGATGGCAAACTGGATATTGCATTGTTTTCAATTCTGTTCGAACAGCAGTGGAAAATTTCACCACCACAGTGGTCACTGGAATGGCCGCTTGGACAGATAATCCTGACTGTTTCACTTTACACAAACAATCAACACTGCTAGAGATCATCTGTTTTTGCCGGTGATGCAGCGGCGCTGTCACCATGCCAAAGCATGCCACCAGGGGACAGTTTGGCTAAAGCCATCCATTTAGGGATGGACGTGGACACAGGGCATGGGAGATGGATTCATGGGTTAGGTTTGCGGGCTAGGTTTTGGGCAGCTGTAATCAAGGGTTGGGTTTAAGGGATAGGGGTTCAGACGAGGTGTAGCGGTCAGATCATGTGTCAGCGGGTTGGGATTGTGGTCAGGGGTTAGATTTGGGGGCTAGGTTTTGGGCAGCTGTAATCAAAGCTGGGTTTAAGGGATAGGAGTTCAGACGAGGTGTAATTGTTCAACTTTTCTATTGGTCCATTCATCATGAAATTTTAGCACACTGTAAAAGCCAGCTGGCATTTTCAAATTCTGTAAAAAGTACAAAACCGCAAAAATTGAGGTACGAGATTTTGTTCCAACAGCAGTGATTTACACCCCGTATTGACAGGTTTGACTGTGCAAAAATGTTTGTGTTCGTTTTGAGGTCAAAAAAAAAGAATGTTTTTCTCTGCAAACAAGACACAGGCGACAACAATAACACTCCTTTAAATTCTAATTGTGATAAAACTTCCACTCTTCAGCTTACAAACCAAAATGAGGGATGGATTGAAAGCTAAGGATCCACACGTACCACAGAATTTCTCCACGCTTTTCAATGAGTTACGAGCAAGAAGTAAACAAGATATTAGAAGAAGGATTTATGGTGTATGAATCATGGGAGACCTAGGAGAGTTAATAAACGGCACTTGATTTATTTTCCCCCAGCAGCGAATGTGCAATGGCTGTTAGATCAACTTTGGTGTCGTGTAAGCTGCTTCTCTCAGACGTTAGCCGTGGACTTTGCTGGGTCTCCTTGGTTTCATTTGGCCCCTTTATCTCTTGAAGCAAGCGTGTCGTCTCCCACTAGTCACACCGAGGGTGTTTTGCGACTGTAGCTAATGCAGGGCTTTAAGTGTCCATGGCTCCACTGTCCAAACATGTGAGGAATGACTCTCTCTCTCTCTCTCTCTCTCTCCCTGGATGATAGCGGCACTCTGCATGAGGTACTGGCCAGTCTGGAGCCCAATCTGTGACAAATAGCGTCTCGGGAGGAATAAAGTCTCCGAAGAGAAATGGCCTCCTGCTCCTCCTCTCTCACTTCCCTGACATCTCCTCCATAATTCAGAGCAGGCAGAGCAGAGAGAGTGAGGCTAGCTTCTGACGCTAATACCAATATTTTAGTACCCTTTTATACAGATTTTTTGCCCTTCAAGTCCAATTGGCAACACTTAAAGGACCCATATTATGGAAACACCATAAGCTTTTTTAAATAATGTTTGATGTAGTATGTAAACATTGTTAAAGTTTCAAAAGTCCTGACCATAGAGTCCATATATGAAAGCTAAGGAGCCCTGCTGGTGACATCCCATGTAAATAAAAATAATGTGTGACCATGACATATTAACGTGTGGGAACAAAATCCTAATGCATGGCCAAGACTTAGTAAGGCGTGGGAATGAGATTATTAAGTTGTGGCCACAATGTATTAACGGATGGGAACGAGATAATGCCTTATCAAGCTGTGGCCAAGGCTTAATTACCTTGTTCCCATGCCTTACTAAGTCGTGGCCGTGCATTAGGATCTCGTCCCCACGCCTTACAAAGTCATGGCCATGCATTAGGATCTCGTCTCCACAACTTACTAAGTCGTGGCCATGCATTAGGATCTCATCCCCACGCCTTACTAAGTCGTGGCCATGCATTAGGATCTCGTCTCCACAACTTACTAAGTCGTGGCCATGCATTAGGATCTCGTCCCCACGCCTTACTAAGTTGTAGCCATGCATTAGGATCTCGTCCCCACGCCTTACAAAGTCATGGCCATGCATTAGGATCTCGTCTCCACAACTTACTAAGTCGTGGCCATGCATTAGGATCTCGTCCCCACGCCTTACTAAGTCGTGGCCAAGCATTAGGATCTTGTCCCCACGCCTTATGAAGTCATGGCCATGCATTAGGATCTCGTCCCCACGCCTTACTAAGTCGTGGCCATGCATTAGGATCTCGTCCCCACTCCTTACTAAGTCGTGGCCATGCATTAGGATCTCGTCCCCACACCTTACTAAGCCATGGCCATGCATTAGGATCTTGTCCCCACGCCTCACAAGTCGTGGCCATGACTTAATTATCTCGCTCCCATGCCTTACTAAGCTATGCACAAAAAAACACAAAATGTGGCCTGTGCAAAAGTTATGGCACATTTGGTGTGCTATGTTTATTTTTTCCAATATGTTAACCTAGAAATTGTGTATTAAAATTTGCATTAAATGTAAATATTTAAATATTTAACTTTGTTCACTGTAGAAGATGTGTTAACTTATTTTCACTGAAAAAGCAACAAAGCATAATTTGACTGTGGGTGCATACACTGTACCTCAGTCTTAAAAGCACAGTAGCAAAAACAGCCCATGGAAGTTGACAGTGGTCAACCTCAAACTTCATACGTTGACCTGTGTTTGCACCAATGTTGCCAAATTGGGCTACTTTTGCTACTTGTGCAGATAAGACCATAGCCTAGACAGTTCTTATATTTGCTTGTAGAGGCGCATCAAAATCTTAAAATGCAATGAAGTTTAATTTCAATTGCATTTGAGAAGCTTTTAAGAAGCTTACAGGCCCAAACAGAAGACAGGATATTCTGGAGAAAGCCTATCTTTAGAAGTGCACTCAGAAGTGCGTCAAATCTTTTACTCAATTTAGCACAAGTGGAGCCCTCAGCTAGGTTATCATCACTGTGCTCAGTAGCTAGCCATGAAAACTTTGGAATGTCTGCAGAACATGTGGACATAAGGGCTCTTATTCATCAAAGTTGCCTACCATCAAATCTGAGTGTAAAACAGTTTTGTTATTCATCAATTGAATCTTTGGCATATGTTTACAACTGTCATAATAAACATTTTCTTTATTTCACATTTTTCTTTATAGTTGTAATTTTAACACTATAAAATTTGGTCAGTAGGGGGAGCAGTGCACACGCTATTTGACCTCAAACTCCTCCCATGAGCACTGCCATTGGCTCACGAGCCGCTGAACATTGTTGTTTTATTGGCTCCCTACCTATACATTAGCCTGAATTAGGATGTGCTTCATGTTAATGATATGTTAAAGAAGTGCTGGCAGGCTTGCACTTGATTTCACGCACTGAAGCTTATTTGCACTTAAATCTCTGTTTGTTTCTGCACTGTACGAATGTTTTGTGGACCAGAAGTAATTTGATTTATGTATTGCCTTGCTTGATCATGCAGGAGTGAAATTTTGTAAAATCCCCATATTCATTTATCAGAACTCTGACAAAGCTGCAGTGTATATGAAGGCACATAACTCAAAACACATCTCCACTTCATGGTGGTGCAAATGATGCTATGCCCTATTATCACAGTTAAATTTTGGCTTTCAATTTTTTTGAGCATTTAATATATTTAGGCAGGTTTTGATCTTTCATTTGGCTGAAAACAGTTTTTGCAGTCTGGTAACCCTGTACAGCACCAGCATTCAGGGAGGGTGGTTTCTGAGGATTGTGAGCACCTGTACATTTGAGAGCAACTAGCTTAAACATAGATGGTCTCTCAGAAGTATAAACCTATGTATTGCTGTTGTCGGAACAAAACCTCGTATCTCCAAAATGGTAACTTTACAGGAGAAGGAAAAAACCTACTTTACTTTTAATGTAAGTCAATGGAACCAGACTTTTTTCCAAGTCATATTGGGTCATTTCTTTTGGTCCATTCATTCTGAAATTTACACACAATGTAAAGAGCAACAGGTATTTCAAATTATAAAAAATGGAGATACAAGGTTTTCTTCTGACAACAGCGATAGGCACATGTTCATATGAAAGCTATGAAAGACGTTTGAAATACAATTAAACATTGTTCCATGTTCCCATGTATAATAAGCTGAGTAAATGTTTGCTTCATTTAATTGCAAAGTTAAAAAGATGGATGAGTGGATGGATATTAAATATTTACTCATTGTTTTCCCCTCTCCAGCATTCATTACCCACACTTCTCCATCACCCCTCATTCCCTCCCACCTGACAGAAGCAGCATCGTTTGTGCTCTCACCCTGTACGCCGTCTCCATGACTCCAGTCACCTTGGTAACCCCCAGCACAGGACTTCATGTCTCCCTGGTAACCTCCAAAAGATTCTCTCTCACTTCCGTAGCTTCCAATTGACTCCTGGTCCTCGTTGTAACCCCCAAAAGCGCTCATGTCACCACAGTAACTTTGGAAGGAACCTTCTGGGTCACTCTGGTTAGGAAGGTAGGACCCCCTCGGATGGTTGTTAAAGGCTGGTAAGGCCATTGGGTCTTCCCGAAACAGATTTTGAGACCCGCAATTAAGGAAGGGCTGGAAGAAAGGATCTGTCCCAGAAGAGCCATCTGTACGAATTGAACTAACGCTGCTACAGCTGTACCGTGAGGAAGATCGGAAGGAGGATGAGGAGGAGCGAGAGGAAGAAGATTTGGTTAGTGAGGTCATGGTGGAAGAACAAATATCTCGGAGGTTGATGAAGCTTCTCTACAATAGGGTACTATGACTTGACCTGTCACTTAGTCAAAAGAGCAGGATGCTCTACTCAATCCTGGAATGCTACGATAAATCCTGCAATATTTTGACCAATTCTGGGATACTACGACAAATCCTGAGGACTATGACTTATCCTGTGATATGACCAATACTGGAACACTATGGCCAATCCAAGAATGTTTGACCAATGCTTAAGACTGTGACCAATCCTGGAATTCTATAACCAATCCTGGAACACTATAACCAATCTTGAACACTTTGGTCAATCCTGGAACGTTCTGCCAATGTTGAAGACTCTGACCTATTCTGGAAGATTATGACCAATCCTGGAACACTCCAATCAATCTTGGAACATTCGGCCAAAGCTGAAGATTTTTATCTAAAATGAAAGATTATGACCAATCCTGGAACAGTGGCCAATCTTGGAATGCCACAAACAACCCTGAAATGCTGCAAGCAATGCTAGAACACTGCAACTGATCTTGGAATACCACAACCAATCCTGGAACTCTACAAGCAATCCTAGAACACTTCAACCAAACGTGTTACACTACGAACAACCATGGAACGCTACAAACAATCCTGGAATGCTGCAACCAATCTGGAAGACTATGACCCATTCAAATAGTGGTGTGTCAAGAAGCCGTGTTCCTGCTACTTCTCCTTGCACGCTTGGTGCTCTGAAGAACTCTGCTGCTGTGTGGGCCTGATTTAATCTGTGCCCCAGTGCATTGTGGGCCAGCATGGTGTCCCCCCCTTCTCCATACATGGCTTTACTCCTGGCATTGCACTCCTGGAATAACGGAAAAGGTGATAAGAGATGGAAAAGCTCTTGAGAGGACACTTGAATACAAGCAAGAGATACCCAGTCCCCAACGTCCAACCATCTTATCAACCACCCAACTGCCCAACTCCTGTTTCTAATTCAAACCTGCTCCACTGACCTGTTTAACATGGTATAAACAACTGTTCAGCATTATAAATGTTAATCTAGCAATAACATTGATACATATAGCAGAGTGAACATGCTTTTTTGTCATATGCACTGCAAAAAAATATATTAGCAAGTGTAAACATCTTAAATGTAGTTAACAGATCTACTGTTTCTGATTATGAGACTGTTGTAAGAATATTATTAGATTATTAAACTTATTTCTAGAAATTTTTACTTGTTTAAAGCAGTTTTGTCTTATGAAAGTGTCTTGTTCCATTGGCAGATCATTTTACTTGTTTTAAGCATTATTTCTTGAAATAAGCAAAATGATCTTTATTATTTCTCAAAATTGCCAATATAATAAGACACTTTCACTAGATAAACTTACTTAAAATGAGTAAAAATGTACAGAAATAGGTGGAATCATCCTATAATATTCTTACAACAGTCTCAAAATGAGAAATATTAGATTTACTGATTTACTGAAGTTTTCACTCGTTAGGATATTATTTTGAAAGCTATTTTGTGTTTTATACATACTTTTACTGAATGAATTAAATAAATATACAGTCGTATGGAAGAGTTTGGGCACCTCTGGTCAAATAACATGTTTTGTTGATTTTCTACGGGACAATAAGTGAACACATCCTCTACAGAGACCACACTTCTGCACATTTTAATGCACAAGAACTGTTTAATTGCTGAATTTAACATATAAGGAAAAATTTAAACATAAAATGTGGCCTGTGCAAAAGTTATGGCACACTTTATATTTTGTTTTGTATTTTTCCATGTTATTCACATTTTTGCATATGACTGTATATTGTTCAAAATATTTCCAAGAACGTCTAGGAAGGCATAGAGCAGAAAACTGCCATTAAACAGTGAGTAGAGCTATGATGGGTCATTAAAAATACATATTCTGGACTCCTGTCTGGAATTCTTCCCTGAGAATCTCAGCACTGTCAGTCAAGAGGACAGCGAGTGATGTCACCAAGATATTTCCGATGTGTTTCCAAGGCAAATTGAGTCCCAGTATGCTTGCTGACTACTGTTGGACCCTTAAAAAAGACGTTCAGCAGAACATCAACCACTTGAACTTTTTAAGTCATGTAATTATTGTGTGTAATTTAATGTAAATGTATATTTACTTGAAATGTTCAGTCATACGTCACATAAAAATCCTAGAAAAAAGTCTGAAACAGGTTAAAATTCTGCACAAAATACTGTTAAAAACAGCTTCTCTAGTTCATGTGATGAAATATGTTCATTTAGCAAATTAATATTCATTTTTATACTAACATATTTTTTATACTAAAATTGACTATTATAAACTAGACACTTATAAAAGAAGGTTCTTCAAGGGTACTATGATGAAAGCAATGGTTCTATTTAGAACCATGAGTTTTATATAGAGCCATTTCATGCTTAAGTGGTTCTTTGCGTGGTAAAATGGTTCTTCAGCTTAATAGAAAATGTGTTGTATGTATGGTTCTATATGGAACCTTTTTGAACCATGAGTTTTATATGGCACCAAAAAGGGTTCTTCTATTGTTACAAGCTATACAGAACCATTTTCAAGAAGGTTCTATATAGAAAAAATGAGAATGGTTCTATATAGCTTGTAACAACAGAAGAACATTTTGTCGTGCTACATAGAACCATTTTCAAAAAGGTTCCATATAGAACCATATACAACACATTTTCCACCAATCTGAAAAATGATTTCACCATGCAGAGAACCATTTAAGCATGAAATGGTTCTAAATAGAATCATTCCCTTTACTAAAGAACCTTTGAAGAACCATCTTTTTATAAGTATATATTTTTGTAGCATAACAAAACTATTAATTTTATGTATGGATAAAATATAAGAACATATTTTAAAAACATTAAGTAACATAAATGTAAGATGTTTTGGTGATAACATTAATAAAAAAGTATACATAAATATGATGCCAACCCCCTATAAACATCACATCATTATATAATAGCTTGTTAAGGATGGTTAATAACGACATTTGTTATTTAATAAATGCTACCATTTGAATGGTTTGTTAACCATTTACTTGCTTTTTTATTAAGATATTAAATTTAGGTGTATAAGTAATTAATATATGTTCAAAAAGTCATAACTTAATAGTGATGATAGTGATATTTATGTTTTAAAAAGTATATTTTCACCATTTAATAATAATAATCATTAAATAAACATTTATTAATCACAAAGTAGGAAGATAATAAATAACTACTTAATCGTTTAAAACAAAACATAGACAATTACTAAATAGCTATAAAGTATATTATAATTATGAATAGTTTAATGTAACTAAGTGAATGGCTACTATTTCAAATTATATAACGTGAGTTATAGAGTAACTTAATAATTATTAACAAAATATAATTAATATTAGGTTTCTACAATTCAGTATGATTATTTCTATGTCACTAAACGGTTAATAATTCAAATGGTACCATTTATTCAATATGCATATGTGACTGTTACATAATTGTTAAAAGTCATTAAGAAACTATTAGAAAATGATTAAGTTGCTATTAATTAGGGCCTGCCTGTTATTATAAAGTGTTTTATTAAGTATAATTACGCATTTTAGAAATATTAAGCAACATATCACTGTTGCTGGAACAAAATCTTGTATCTCCATTTTTTGTCGTTTTTCAGTTTTTGACATAATTTGAAAATACCTGTAGTCCTTTACATTGTGTGTAAATTTCATGATGAATGGACCAAAAGAAACGGCCCAAAATGACTTGGAAAAAATTCTGGTTCCATTGACTTACATTAATAGTAAAGTATGTTTTTTCCTTCTCTTGTAAAGTTACCATTTTGGAGATACAAGGTTTTGTTCTGACAGCAGCGATTTAAGAAAGATGTTCTACATGTTTCTAGACTTTGTAGTAACTATAAATCAAGAATTGAGAAGCTTGATTCGAACCTTGAATGCTTGAAGCTGATAGTTTGGGAGCTCTGAATCTGCATTACGTTGAGTGTGAGGTCAGTTTCAGTCTTCACGCCTCTCTGAGCTAATTGGGACACAGCCGTTCCTAAGTAGAGGTCACTTACCAACTGTCTTTGAAGGCAGCTTTGGTTTGCAGACTGGCTTAACATTTCATCTGTCACAATGTATCAGTGCTGAAGTGGATCAAAAACGCCTGCTAGCACAGTGGTTTAAAATGAAAGGAGCCCAACAGACGTGTGCCCATTTTCGCTAGTAGGGTCTACTGTGATAATCAACACACACAACACACAGCTCACAGTAAACGTTCCCACTCGATGTGCTATCTAGAGTAGGGTCTACCACCCGGCCCGAGAAACATGCCCTGAAACAGGATCACCGCCAACACATTATTGCTATTAAAAAGGTATGTTGAGCTTCTCTACACTGCAGTTAGTATCTTATACCCTGATTAAGGTTAAGTGACCCTTATTCCACAATGGGGAAACTTCACCTCCACAATTTAATCCACCTGTGCAGTGAAACACCACATACACACTAAGGGAGCAGTGAGCACACTTGCCCTATCCGCAGTGCCCGGGGAGCAGTTGGGGGTGAGGTGCCTTGCTCAAAGGCACTTCAGTCACATACTGTCAGCTCCGGGTATCGAACTGGCGACCTTCCGGTCACAGGGCTGGTTCCCTAACCTCCAGCCCATGATCGCCCTATACAAGGTTTATACAGCGCCCTCAACAATTATTGGCACCCCTCGTTAAGATGTGTTAAAAGCCTTAAAATCAATTCAATTTTTATTTCA